CGGCGGCAGCCTCTGCTAATGGGGGACAGGCGTTCCTGGCAGAAGTCCCTGATTCTGAGGAAGGGGAGTCAGGGTGGACTGACACAGAGTCGGATTCAGACTCCGAGCCAGAGACCCAGCGCAGAGGGAGGGGGAAAAAACCCGTTCCCACCATGCAGAAGCGCCCCTTTCCTTATGAAATCGATGAGATTCTGGGTGTCCGAGATCTCAGGAAAGTCCTTGCCTTGCTTCAGAAGTCGGATGATCCTTTCATCCAACAGGTAGCTTTGCTCACTCTGAGCAACAATGCCAATTACTCATGCAACCAAGAGACTATTCGCAAATTGGGTGGCCTTCCAATTATTGCAAACATGATCAACAAAACGGATCCTCACATTAAGGAAAAAGCCTTAATGGCCATGAATAACCTGAGTGAAAATTATGAAAATCAAGGCCGGCTTCAGGTTTACATGAATAAAGTGATGGATGATATCATGGCCTCTAACCTGAACTCGGCAGTACAGGTAGTTGGACTAAAATTTTTAACAAACATGACTATTACTAATGACTACCAACACCTGCTTGTCAATTCTATTGCAAACTTTTTCCGTTTGTTATCTCAGGGAGGTGGAAAAATCAAGGTTGAGATTTTGAAAATACTTTCGAACTTTGCTGAAAATCCCGATATGCTCAAAAAGCTTCTCAGTACCCAAGTGCCATCATCATTTAGTTCCCTCTATAATTCTTATGTGGAATCAGAAATTCTTATTAATGCCCTCACTTTATTTGAGATCATCTATGACAATCTCAGAGCAGAAGTGTTCAATTACAGAGAATTCAATAAGGGTTCCCTTTTTTACTTATGTACTACATCTGGAGTGTGTGTAAAAAAAATTCGAGCCTTGGCAAATCACCATGATCTCTTGGTGAAAGTGAAAGTTATAAAACTGGTGAACAAATTCTGATTGGGCATGTGCTCTCAACAGCCTTGAAGAAACTTGGTTTTGCAGTCTGAAAGCATTGAAAATGAAAGTTACTGCTTTTCCAGTTGCTCATATAGTAAAGGGATCCTTTCGGCTGCCAGTTTTGAATAATATATCATCCAGAATGGTGTTATCTGTGACAGTCACCAGCTATAAGCTGAACCATTTTATGAATACCAAATAGTCCTCTTGTGCTGAAAACACGTTTGTGACTTTAATTGTGCTGCTTGGATGGAAATGTTTTTACTGGTTCCTCTATGTGAATTGACAGTGCACCTGTCCATTGTGAATGGCCTACTGTTGTATTGTTTTAACTTGAATTTATCCACCAAAGACATCATTTGTGTATCATCAATAAAATTGTATGTTTCAACTGACAAAAATTGTTCTCATGCTTGGATTTAACATCTAGGTGGGAAGATAAGGTACATATATACAAAAAGAGTATAATACCTTTGCATATCTCCTTGGGTATTTTGTTATTTGTTAAATGAAGTATAGGTTACTGAGAAGGCTTCAGTGATGAAGGACACATTAAAGCTGGGCCCTGAAGAACAGTCCTTGTATTCCAGGAAGGAGAAAGGGTTTGAAGATATGCATGGAAATAGGGAATCTGTTCCTGTGATAGGAAGGAAGCCAGTTTCCCTGAAATAGAAGTCATGGCAAGAGGAGTGATGAGAGGAAGGTGAAAAGTTAGGGTGAGGAAAGTTTAAGGAAGACCCTGAAGCCCAGGCTCAGATTTGAAATAGTATCCTGTCATGTTCTGGAACTCACTGACCGTTTTCGAAAAAACAGTCCAGTGGTGATGTGCAAGATGGATTGGAGATGGGATCTGATGAGATTAGGGGTGGAGACTTGGAAACAGGAGCATTTTTTAAAAAGTTACAATAGACTGAAGCATGACATGATACAGGGTGAAATGAGGGGGTGACTTAAAGAAACTGTTAGGTAATGATAGTAATTTTTCTTACCAAAAAAAAAAAAAAACAAAAATCTACCTGATAGTTGAGTATGGGACAACAGATTGTATGACTACCTCTATCCCTCTGCATAGTTCCTGATACGGGAAGACCCTCTTTCTTGGGCAACTGTGGAGACCACATAATGACAGTGTAAGTTATCATTTCCAATGATGAAAAACAGCAGTGTAGTAGAGAGAAGGAATCAGCAAGAGCAGTGGTTTGTTTTCTAGGATTAGAAGTCTAGGTCTGTCTGCCTGATTTTTTTTGAAGAAGGGCCCTCGTGAGGCTTTTATGGGATCCCCCACACCTATCCCTGAGTTCACTTAAGAGCAGATGTACCTTCTTTCCTTCCCTCTCTGGCCCATTGAAGCAATAAAAAGAAAAGAGGAGGGAGCCCAAGATTTTCCTAAACTAAGACTGCTTTCCTGACACCCCTCAGAAAATCATTTTTGTGCAAGTGTTTCTGTGGTAGGCTGTGGCCAGGATAGAAATAGGGAATCCCAAAAGGGTGACATACAGAAGAGGAATAGATTGGTATTATATATTGGTACAGTTTATCTGTAAAGAAATTTGGTAGTGTTCATAAGAAGCTTTATAGATGTATCTGACTTCCAGTTAAGCATTCCATTTGTAGGATTTTTTTTTTCCTAAGAAAAAAATCAAATAATTGTAGAGAAATGTACAAGGCTGCTAATTTCAGCAGTGTTTCTTTCTGTGTGTGTTTATATTTTTTATTTTTTTAAAATTTGCTAGAGGGCTTGTGTGTTCATCAGAGAAAGATTGTGAGGAACAGTGAAAAAGCGCCCCCAGTAGGGCATGGTCACACTGTAATCGCTTCTCCTCAATTTCTCCAATCTTTTTGGGATTTTGGATACATACACACACATACTCAGTGATTTACAAGTCACTAGGTCTGGGACTCAAACCTCACAGTTGGAATCCAGCTGCCTTAGCCACTAGACAGCAGGGCCGACCCTCAGCAGTGTTTCTAAGACAGAAAAACTAGAAGAAAAATGTCTAACACTATGAAACTGGCCAAACAGTAGATAGTATGTCATGTAGTACAGTATTATACAACTATTAAAACTAAGAGATCTATTGTACATCATGGTGACTGCAGTTAATAACAATATACTGCTGGGACCAGCAGTTGGCGTAATGACTATGTCGCTGGACTCCCATGTAGTCGACTGCGGTTCCAGTCCCAGACCTGGTGACTTAAACTCACGCAGGGCATGTGTGCGTGCATGCCCAAGATCCCGAGAGGAGAATGGAGGAGAAGGAACTGCTGCATGGCCATCCCCACTGAGGGTGCTTTCTCTCTTCTCAAGTGCACACACTCTCTGGCAATTGAAATAAATAAAAGTGTTAAACTGTCATATACTCCTTTTTAGAAATTTTTTTATTTCCTGAGAGAGAGAGAGAAACAAAAAGAGTGAGAAGAACCCTCACAAGGTCTGACATCATGATTTTCCCTCTCCACCTTTCCAGCTAGCCAGGATGTACAGGTTGACCCAGGAAATGAACCCTGATCCAGAAATCAAACCCTAGCCTTCCATATGGCTTCAGTATTACAGAG